AAGATTATATATGGTTCAATAGAGTAGTCTTTCTTAAACTTATTACGTTTGGTTCATTTTGAGTATAAATTGCATGTACTTGTTTATAAATATTTTATTTTCTAATTCATTGTTTTTCAATAGCATAGAGAAGACCAGTAAACATTGAGTTTTCATTTCCTATTTTTTTTCAGTAATAATTAATATTGGCAAATAATTTGGAGTCAATATTATAAATTTTTTTAAATTTTTTTTTTTTGACGAATTTGAAAGTTTTAAAATTAGAGGTTGTGAGAAAAGAAGAAAAATAAGTTTAGCTATCACAGTCTTAAAGAAATTTTTTTTTTCTTTATTAGATTAAATTATTTTTTATTCAATATAATGATTTTATTTGAGCTCCATAACACAGGGGCAAAAATTTTCCCACAAACTGCCGAGTCCCTAGTGTATAAAATTAAGTTAGTGTATATAATCACTGGTTGTTAGCTTGAGTTAGTAAGATGCATATATAATCACATGCAGTAAGCAATAATTAGAAGGATATAAGAAATAAGATACAATCTGAATTCTTACACATACATTGCCTTTCTTTCTTTTTTTATTAATTTTAGTGCATTATAAATTAATTACAATTTTTAATACGATATAGCGAAAATAAAGCATTAAGTTAACAAATACAATAAAAAATAATTTATCATAAAAAGAAATACTATAGTCTTGGATTTGCAATGAACAACTTTCTTCAGTGTCGAAACATTGAGTTGTAAAAGTTAACACAAAGATACAGAATAAATTCACAAACAAGGTACAAAAAAAAAAAGAAGTTTGACGCGTAGTTTAGAGGGAAGAAGGAAAGAAGGCAGATTAGAAAGAACAATGTGGTTGGGTTAGATGAGAATCATGGGTTAGATGTGCTGCATGATGTAGGCAAAAATATTAGATTTCTGAATATTTGGAAAAAAAGGGATACTCCAAAATGCTATTAAATAAAATATTAAAACTTTTCAAAGTATGTAAATGTTCCAGATATCTTTGTTAGTGACTGAAGAGCGATGGTTATGTAATTTATGAATGGGTAAAACAGATGTCCCACTTTTGAGTTAGCAGCTATCAATGTCATAGTCATTAATCTTGTAATTTTTAGCCAAAGTGGAAAACAAGGAAACTACTGGATTAAATGTTGTGATAAATTCAACGTTTTGTTGAACTAACCTGAATTTCCGTTAAGGAAAGCATGAAAACCTCCCATGGTTAGCCCGACTGTAAGAGAATATTAGCCCACGATCCATCGACTTCTATGAATATTTTACATCAACACTGTAGTTGGTGCTGGCTGGGAACATAACTCAAATCAACCAGTGGTCACTGTGATTCAATCTTAAGTCAACTATTTGGGAGATGAGCCCTCTTTCACCTGAGCCACCGTGTCTGGATGAGCGGTTCATATTATTTTATGAACAGCATTAAAATTCCGATCCTTTTTTTTTTGGTTTATGAATATCATTGTCCAACTCCGTAGTTTTGTAATATTGAATTCAACTCCTGTACCATGCATTAGGACAAATTAGCCTTCATGGTGGACTTTTTCATGGAACTAACAAGTATTTGTGCTTCACGGAGAGAATTCACAATCGCCAAACCCACTGTTAGCCTAACTACAAAGAGATTCTAAGTCATGATCCGCAAACTACTGAGGATATTTTATTCTACTTTAATATTTTTGTTAGAAGGAAACTGAGAGCTATTAATGATCTTCAGTATCTTCAATCACCCAATAAATTTTTTTTTTCTGTTTAAGCCGTTGAAAAAGTTTGATCTTTCTCCCCGTAAACTGCATGAAGAAAAGGTTCAGTAGACATTTAAGGCTAATTAATTTAAAATGATCAATTCCTTATCATTCCATTCTAAGTACACAAATAACTATATAAGTATACGTATTATTCCTTAAACAATATGAATTTCGTCTTTTAAACAGTATAATTTTTTTATAAACCTGTTAAAACCATTGTTAAAAGTATTTTTTTAATTCCAAGATTTCAAAATGTATCCGTAAAATTATTATCGTTAAGAAATACTAAGTAAAAAAAAACAGAATATTCTAAAAGTAGCAGACTTTTTTTTCATACATTGATTTTTAAAATGATATATATGAGGGGAAATTTAAAGTTTAGAATTACCTGGATGAAATTGTTTTTTAAACTGATTAATGATAGAATATATTTTTCGAACGACGTTTTGCTATAGATTCTTACTTCATCAGCTGAAGTTTTTCACTGTTTCTAAAACGGTTTGACAGAAACTTCAAATATAAATCTTAATTTAAATATATTAATTTTTGATTTATGCCTTTTAAGCGCTGTTACCTGTCCTTCATTGAGATGAATGGTTTAAGGTTTTTTTAATTTTTATTAATGCGCACAGATTTTTTGAGTACTTTTTTTTCACTTTCAGGTTTTTATTCTGTCTATTTATCTATTTTTCTTGTAATTTTAACAAATAGAAATCTAAAACAAACTATAACTTTATTTTGACATAAGTGATTCAATACTTAATACTTATACTCTTGTATAACTTTATTTCTGAATAATCATGAAATGTTATTCGGTTAAAAAATGTGCTTAAAATTGAGAGTTTACTAAATTTTTTTTGTGATATTTTTTACTGGTTGAATATCGCTCGAATGACTGATTAATTTTTGTGTATGTGATTCAATACTTAATACACAAACTCTTGTGTACCACTCTTATTTTATAGGAAGATGCGTTGAATGTAAGTGTTTACTAATTTTTCTGATGGTTTTCTCAAACAGAAAAGTTATCAAATCAGCAATTTTATTTTATATTAAATTATGTAATACTTAATACGCACATTACTCCTGTTGAAGAATATTCTGGAAGTTATAAGGAAAAACAATGCATTTAAAGTTGAATGTTTGCCGATTTTTCTGATAATTTTTGCAAACGAAATGAATCATAAGGACAACAGTTTTATTTTAAATGAAGGACCATTTACATGAAACCTAAACTCTTATATTACTACTATTATAGAGAACTATAGAAAAATAAACTTCTTAAATTAAGATACGAACACTTCTATGCTATGTAGAATAAATCAGTAAATAATATTACATTTAGTAAAAACATTATAGTTTTATCTTTTAGAGATTTGTTTCCTTTATTATACTCATTTCGATTGGAATTGCATAGTTAAATTTCAGAAAAATAAATAAACGGGTCCGTTAGTTAAATCTCAATTTAGAGCATTCAATTTCAAAATTATAGGAAAGCATATAGTTTAAACAGTATTTTGTTGGAATTGTTTCCAACTTATGCTATGGCATGCATCCATATATGTTTTTAAATCTGACCTTGAATTTATAATGCTCTCTCAACTTGGAATAACGCCATAGTCTAAAACTATGACCCTTATACATGGCACAAAACTCCGTTTCGAAACGAGTAAAGCAAACAATAGTTTCTATAGCAACAAAGTAGTTTCTCGAAAGAAAGCTAAATAAGGAAAATTAATTTGAATATTAAGGGCCTTTTGTTAAAAATTAAAAATTAATACCATACGATACGAAAATNATCGATTAAGTTAAGCGATTAGGGGACCACGGCTAACTCGGATAACCGAAAAACTCGGTTGAACCGAAGAGTATAAAAAAGGAAAAAGTAGGTATAAATGTAATATGTTTAACAAATACAAAATTTATACAAGTACACCTCATACAATTCATGTAAAAATTAAAAAGCTTTCGCAAAAACACTTAAAGAGCATACTTTATGAGAATGAAAGAGTTTTTACTTAAAAATGTCCTTAATTGTTTTTTGTTTTACATTACTTGGGCCCTTTTCTGCAGTAATGTTTCACCATTCATTCATAACATGAAGATTGGTGTCGCCTCTTCCTGTTGTTCTATATATTCCATAGCTCTTTCGATAGTTTTTAGTCCATCTGTAGATATTTTCATTATCACTGTCTTCATGATCTTCCCCAGATTTATTTTCATTATTGATGATATTAACGATCATTTCATTGGTGATCTCGTGTTGTCCGTCAGCTTGTTTTTGAGTGCTTGGAAGATAAAATTCGGAATTTATTTGGTGGTAGTTTTAGAAATAAAAAATAAACTAGAACAAAAAATAAACCTTGAAATAATTGATAGCTCGGTTAAAGCGGAAACTCGGATATTCGGGACTCTCCTGCATTTTAAACAATGTCCTTGTTTTCTTAAGAGATTTTTTGCAGCAAAATACTATTTTCATTTATATTAACACGAACAAAATTAATCTTTATTGACAGGCATGAGTATTTTTCTACTTTAAGATAACTTTTGAAACACTCAAAACACATGAAGGAATCTCGGCTTAGCATAGAGAAAATTTTAAATAGGTTTGTATTATTAAATACTCTTTGTGATTCAATATCTTTTCTTAATTATTTATGAGAACAAATGCTCAAAAAATGAATGCACTTTTACTGAAGTAAAATATTTTTTTTGCTTGCATTTTTGCTGGTTTTACTCAAACTAGCATATATCGTTTTGAAAGAAGTTATTTCTTTGACAGAATAATAGTTACAATTGAAACTTATTTTGAATCGTGTTTGCATATTTTTTCAGAAATTTTCAAAGTTATCAATTTGATAGTTTCCCATCTTATAATTACAGTTTGCTGATTTATATTTTTGCCCGACTTAAATAGAATTATCATTATCAAAAAAGTTTATCCAAGCTCTTTCTTTTTAAACAGGCAAACAAAAAAAATCGATCGTTAACCTTATTTATAACTAGCTGTACCCGTTCACACGTTGCTGTGATTAATGATCAAATGTATACAATACATCAAAATGGAAATTAATAATAAAATTATCCCAACATATATGTCATTTGAATATAATGAAACGTAGATATACATAGTTGATGGTAGAATAAACATGTTTCTTCACTTGTGATATTAAACAATATTGCAAACGATATCATCATGAAATGAATGATATTTGATGATTGATGGTGAACTTTATCTTAGTAGTGCTTGTAAATATACAACATTTTTTGTTTTCCTATCTGGTGCAAGAACAAATAAATTTGATGGTTTTTCAACTCGTGAACACGCAACGTACAGCTGTCCATGTGAGAAGCATGGATTTGTCAAATTTAATCCACATACTTGCAATGATTGTCCCTGTGCTTTGTTAATGGTCATTGCAAAGGCTAGTCGTACTGGAAACTGTAGACGTTTGAATTCAAATATAGTATCCGTTAGTATCATGGGAATGCGTGGTATTAGTTCATGTTCTCCTTGGTGTTTTCCATTTAAAATGGTTGCCTCAATTATGTTATTCATTAATTTTTTTACTGATAGCCTAGTCCCATTGCATAGTCGCGGGGGATTTATATTTTGTAGAAGGATGATTGGGGAACCAATTTTCAAAGATAAAATATGTGGTGGCATTCCTGGTAGATCCAATGAATTTAAAAATTCTATTGGATAATTAACTGATTCATCTTGATTGACAACAGTATCTATGGATTTATATGTTGTTTCTTCATCAAGTATTTCATTTTGAATTTTACAGTTTATTAAATTAACATCAATGTTTTTGGCTGCCAATATAGCACGCTCACTAACCCATTGATTATTGTTATAATTCTGCGATAAATTTGGAAAAATTTTTGCAATCAATTCATCAGTGGATTTTACAATGTGACAAAAGTTTTCTGGTAATGTAATACAGTGTGTGGATTGGTCCATTTCTATTTTACCATTCCCAATATCTAACAATTGTTTTGTAAATCGTTCAGAAGATTCATCTTGTTGTAATTGAATACGCATATTGGTCTTTAAAGATATTTTCTCCACATACCGCCATAACACTGATGATTTGAGACATGCATTCAATTCATCTGCTAGTGTTGAGCGGGGTATGACTGGTAGAGTTTGTCTAAAATCACCAGCTAGCAAAATGAGTACACCACCAAGAGCTGCTAATTTCCTCTCAAATCTTTTAATGTGCGATTGAGTGCTTCTAATGATTTCTTGTGTGCCATGGTGCATTCATCCCATATTATAAGCTGACATGATCTTAGTACTTTTCCCATCCCAGAATCTTGGCTAATATTACATGTTGGAAATTCAATTACCTGCACATTTAATGGCAATTTCAATGCTGAATGTGCTGTTCGACCACCGTCCAAAAGAGTTGCTGCAATACCAGATGATGCAATAGCAAGTGCAATATTATTTTGTGATCTTATAGTTGCCAGAATAATTGAAATAAGAAAAGTTTTGCCAGTACCTGCAGGTACATCTAAGAAATATAAGCCACAACTCTTGTTAGATATTGCATTTATAATTGTGTCATACTGTTCGTTGTTCAAATACCAATTTCGGAAGATTAATTCGAACAAATGTTTGTAATTCTTTAACATCGAAGTGCGTTTCTCGTTGTATATCACGATCGAAAATGTCATTACCTGATCTATTTGGAGCAATCATTCCCAATTCTGTCAGTGATTTGTTGGCTATTGTCAAGCATGCATTCTCAATTAAAATCAATGCTTCATTGTATATATTTGATGTAAATTGAATGTTGGGATTAACATTTATTCTACGCATGCGATGTAAAATGTCTTCACTCATATAGTCTTCATATTTTTCCCAAAGATCCTTTGGATTAGCCGGAAAACATGTAGTTAGTATGATGAAAAATAGTGTACGTATCTGTGGTGGTTAAGCTGTATTAGAAGCATCAGCGAGTGAAATATCCCAATGAGCATCGTTTTCTAAGAGACTTAATTTCTGGCAAGCCTCACGAAATGTAGCACACGCATGGCCATTGACTGTTTTTAATTCTTGGAAAGATGTTGGTCCCCGAACATTGATTAATAATAATCTCAGGTAAAAGCATTCTGCGTTATTTGGATGTACAGTGTACAGACGACCCAATGCATCTGTGGAATATAAATTTAGATGTCCTTGTACTGCTCTACCTTGTTTACGACGCTGAAATTTTCTTGTTGATGTATTCCACGTAAAATAAGTTGGTACTTCAGAGTACAGTAGTGTCTTTGCAAAGGTATCATTTCTACATAATGCGAAAAATTCAGTTAATGTTGTTGGCGGTGGTGACATTGCTCTTGCATGTACATTTTCTGATGTAAAATACACACGCTGTCCATTTTCAAGATGTACTGCTAAATGAACAACGGTTGGATATGGCATGAATGGAAAATGATAAAATACGTTTGTTTGGTCTGTCTGTTGTTGTTACGTCTGTTTGGTGTTATCTTTTCCATCATCCATATTAAAATATGCGCATGTGGTAAACCTCTTTTTTGCCATTCAATGGAATACATCCAACAGCGCGTCTCTCCAAATACACGGTGTGTGACAATAAAATCTATTAAGGATTTTAATTTTTGTTTAAATACACGTGCAGAAATATCATGACGATCTGATGGTGATTGTCCAGTTAATAAAAGCTCCTTTATTTCATCCCATGCTGGGTTGCATGTAAATGTGATGAAAAAATCTGGACGACCATATGCACGAACATACGTCATTGCATCTTGTGCATATTCATGCATGTGTCCGGGGCTGCCTGTATGTGTGGATGGTAAAATGACCATTTTTCCACATTCACTGAGATTATCATCTTTTACAACTGCATCACGTAAATGGATGTACTCTTCAGAACGCAATTTAACTTGTTTTAGTCGTATGTAGAGGAGTCTTTCACTTTCTATTTTTGCATACATGTCAACAATGTATTGATGAAATAATTGTCTGCATTTCAATACATGATTATCNAATGTAATGGCTCTTCGGTGAATATATTCAATAGCTCTTTTGATAGTTTTTAGTCCATCTGTAGAGATTTTTATTATCACTGTCTTCATCATCTTCGCTAGATTTATTTTCATTATGGATGATATTAATGATAATTTCATCGGTAATCTCGTGTTGTCCGTCAGCTTGTTTTTGAGTGTTTGGAAGATAAAATTAGGAATTTTTTTTGGTTTTAGAAATAAAAAATAAACTAAAACAAAAAATAAACTAAAACAAAAAATAAACCTTGAAATAATTGATAGCTCGGTTAAAATGGAAATTCGGATGTTCGGGTCTTTCCTGAGTTTTAAAAAAATGTCCTTGTTTTTTTTATGAGATTTTTGCAACAAAGTACTATTTTCATATATATAAAACACGAATAAAATTAGTCTTTATTGACAGGCATGAGTATTTTTCTACTTTAAGATAACTTTCTACTTTAAGAACACATGAAAGATATAAAAAAAATCAGTTTAGCATAGAGAAAATTTTAAATAGGTTTGTATTATTAAATACTCTTTGTGATGCAATGTCTTTTCTCAATTATTATGAGAACAAATGCTCAAAAAATGAATGTACTTTTACTGAAGTAAGATATTTTTTTACTTGCATTTTTGCTTGTGTTACTCGAACTAGCTTATATTGTTTTGAAAGAAGTTATTTCTTTGACAGAATAATAGTTACAATTAAAACTTATTTTGAATCGTGTATGCATATTTTTTCAGAAATTTCCAAAGTTATCAATTTTATAGTTTCCTATTTTATTACAGCTTGCTGATTTATACTTTTGACCGACTTCAATAGAATTATCTTTATCGAAAAACCTCTTTCATTTTAAACAGACAAACAAAAAAAAATCGAATGTTACCCTTATAAATAATGCAGGCGAGAGTGGGGTCAATTGTAACAGGGTACGATTGTAACAGAGGAAAAATCTCGAGTGTCGAGTTCTAGATTTGGTTCCTAGGTGTCACACAAGGTGTGTTTAATAAATCTACATGTACACCCCTGCTGGCAACCATTTTTATGTACTTTTGAAAGAGTTACATCACAAAAGATATTTTCACGCTACGTAAGTACTTTTTTGGTATTAGAATATTATATTGTAACAAAGTAATTTTGTTTAAACAAATAAAATTTGTTAACCGAGTATGTAAGTGGACACCTTAATTAACATTTCAAAAAAAGAAGATTAATTTTGTTAATTAACAAGCATTGTTTTTAACAAATGAAGCTGAAATGGCGTCCTAGGGACGATTGTAACAATAAGTAAAGGGACGATTGTAACAGCTAAAAATAAATAATCTTATGTTTACAAGCCATTACTTAACTCTTCAAGAATCATCAATTGTTTCCTACATCATTTATATTATGTTGAATATGCATTATTTTATTTGTCACCTTTCACAGCATAAATTAAAATTTTTAACCCCTTAAAGTTAAAAGTTTAACCCTTTAGGTCTCTGCTCATTATTATTTTTACTTCTAAAATATCACTACTATTTTGAATATATCACAACTATCAACATATATATATCACAACTAACAAACTACATACTAACAAAATATATCACAACTATGATACATAATGATGCATAATTAACTATGTTTTGGTTGAATTTATGAACTGTTACAATTGACCTCGTAAGTGGGGACAACTGTAACAAGTGCACGACTGTCAAAAATTGTTAATAACTAATATAAAGCATTTAAAATAAGGTATTTATTTTTTTTTCTAGTAGAGGATAGTCTACTTTACTCGTCTGTCAATTAATGCTAATAGTATATTGGATTTTTTGTTAGTTAAAAATAGTTAAGTAAAAAATGTTACAATTGACCCCACTCTCCCCTACNATCGCAGAATGTTCTAATGTCGACAGAAACCTTCCTCGTGCTTTGATCTATCTGTATGCCAAGTTTCATAGCTCTCTGTCGGATGGTTTAGGAGTCTATAGAGGACAGACAGACACACATTCACTTTTATATATATAGATGTACCTCATCTGTATTATCATCATATATGATTATATTAGTAACATATATTAATCTGTTAGTATTACTTTATAAACTAAAAAAATGAACTATATTAAACTTAAAAAAATAAATTGAAATCTATTCTACACACACTACTCAGTAAAAAAGTGAATGAAAAATATCGCCAACCATTGATTGATTGCCCTCCTAACAAGAAATGTTAAATATGGAGGACAGTGTAGTAGCCTTCCGGAAAGATTGAAGAATGATGAATTGTTTTAGCGGTGAAAGGTTGCTGTGCTTCTCTTCAAATACCCCTTCTAAAGTAATTTTTTTAGAAGAGATTTCTTTGTCATCTAATTACATAACAGTAATAAGTTCTCGATGTTGTTGATTAGTGTTGATTAATGTAGTTCTTTAGAATAGATAACAGAATTAAGCCTTAATTGGAAAATGCACTATGTAATCATTTATTTATCAGTATGTATGCCAGTATTTTCTTTGTTTTTGGAGCCATAAATGCTTCGCAATAGATTTTTGCTTGGCTACTTATAAGAATTCGATTCGCTTATAAAGACTTAAATATTCCGTCTTCAAAGGTTTTGAGATTTATATAAAAGTACTTTTAATGATTTTATAGACTTTTATACCTCAATTTTCATATCTAGTATTTATAATCTGTAGTTCATTGAAATTAAAAATTGGAAAAAATCTATCTCAAAAAGTAGATAAATATTGAATAAATTAAAGCAATAATAGTTTCGAATTTTTATATAAATTGGGAATCAAAGTTTTTGAAAAGAAAGTCCCAGATTGTCTAAATTATTTATGTTTATCACTTTGAATTTATATTATATTTGAATTTATGTTCATGTCAAGTTTTTCTAGTCTTAATGTGGCATCACAATATTTAGGTAATTCCACCTCATAAATATACAAATAAATGTATTTCTTTGCATCACACAGCGTATGGAACTCATTTCTCCAACGCAATTCGAACTTCGATATTAGGAACAATGATATAGTGAAGTTCGTATCAGTAGAATTCATGTAATCATAGAACTGCTTAACACACACTAAGAATAATTTATATTTATAATTATGAGCTTTCAATATCTGGTAGTTTCAATGTCAGTTATTAGCAAGAGGGGTAAAAATTAAAAATACTAGTTTTACCTAGTATTTTTAAAAAAATAAAAATACTTTGATATATTTTAAAACTTTATTTCTACTGAGCTNATTTATAATCTGTA